TTTTATATATTTTTGTTTTAATTTTCAGGTATATATTTATAATATATCCTATGCACTTTTTAGCTTGACATACAAGTTGTATATAATATAATTACAAGAGACATACCTTATCGAATCTGCACTTTATATAGTTATTGAAACTCTATGAAGCTATACCTACTAATATTTTGTATCAAAATCTCTCTCTCTCTCTCTCTCTCTCTCTCTCTCTCTCTCGGAAGAGCTCTCCATAGAGCTGCTTTGAAATGCGACATACGCCACATGCAAAGGATAGTACCTAGTAAATACTCTAACAGCGATGCCCACAAATAGCTAAAAACCAAAATAATGAGAAGGGCGTTTTGCCCAGAGAACCGGGAACAAATTTCGACTCTGGATGTTTTCTGCTTTGATGGCTGCTGCTGCCGTGTTTTTTCATCTTTCAAGAATATTTTTTTCTTGTTCTCTTTGCTTTCCAGTTGGGGTTACGTGCCGTTAAAAGGCGCAACGAAGTCGTCGCCCGCTGCAGATTATAAAGACTTTCTAGCCGTCGAGCATCTCAATTTGCAGGCTTCCTATTCCAATTGGCAGCCAGTCGTGTGTGGTGCGCGGCAAGGCCCACGCCCAGGCCCACTCGACGGCGAAGCCTCATAAATACCGAATTAGTTGGTAATTCTATAAGCAACACGCGCCCATTGATGGATTGGCTGGGCAGCCAGGGCCGCTCGCTCGAACCGCTCGAACTGCTCGAACTGCTCGAACCGCTCGAGTCGCTCGAGTCGTGGGCGCGTGCTAGATAGATAGATATGAGTGGGCACGAGCGGCAAATTGTATCTGCGAGATACACGCAAGTCGATGCGATGCGCATCCATCGGCTGCGATTGCGGCCGTCGATTTGCGGCACGTGCCGCTGGCTCCGCATGCGACAATTAGCCGCAAATGGCAAATGAATTTTCACATTTAATTATCATAATTAATATGGAGAAAAAGCGATGAAAAGCTGAGATGAAATTTTCATCAGCGAGCAATGGCAAAGGCAATTTGAAAGGGCCCGGGCCAGGATTAAGCGAGCATATTTTATGCATATATATATATATATATAAATATATTGAGGTTCATTAACAGAAGTAGGCGTGGCAGCGGCGACTGTTTATGATCTGAATTAATGGTTTATGCTGTCGATGGCCGCCGGCTGCGCTGACATTGCAAAAGTGGGCAAATAAAAATAAAAATAAAAACAAAAACAAAAATAAATAAATATCAGTAAAGGCGGCTCGCCCTGCTGTCCAGTTGCTGCTTCGAGGAGTCACCGATCCAGTCGCTTAATCCCAACAGAAGCCGCCGATCGAACGGCGTTCCACGCAGTTCATGCCAAGGGTCGCGTGCCCTCGAATTGTTCTCTTTCTCATTCTCATTCTATTCTTATTCGCCTCCTTCTTTCTCGCATAGCTGAACAGCACAGCAGATCAGTTACTCTCCATCCTCTGTCTGCCTATTGATAGAGTAGCTTGTGAATACGTAAGATCTGTACAGCGAGAAAGTTGCAAGACTTTTAGGTAGCTATTGTTAAGCAAAGACCTTGTTGAATATTGTAGCCAATGTCCTTTTGGCCTCTGGTAGCCTCTGGTAGTCACGAGTAGCCTCTGGGAGCCGTTAGTATACTCTGGTAGCCTTTGGTAGCCTCTAGTAGCCTTTGGTAGCCCCTAGTAGACTATGATAGCCCCTAGTAGACTATGATAGCCCCTGATACCGTTTGGTACTCTGGACTTTGATAGCGTCTGGTACCTCTGGTATCTTCTTGTAGTCTTTGGTAGCCTCTGATAGCCTCTGGTAGCCTTTGGTAGCCTCTGATAGCCTATGGTAGGCTTGAATAGCCTCTGGTACCCTCTTGTAGATTCTGGTAGTCTGTGGTAGACTCTGATACCCTTCGGCACTGTAAGCTTTAGTAGCCTCTGATATCTTCTGGTAGTCTCTGGTATCCACTTGTAGCCTCAAGTAGTCTCTGGTAGTCTCTGGTACCCTATGTTAGATTCTGATAAGTTATTACACTCTCTGGTAGTCTCACTCTCTGTAGCCCCTGAAAGCCGCTGTCAGCATAAGCGAATTCGTATTAGAATGAACAAGATCGATGTCGATCGATATTGTAATTTAAGTGGAGCTTGAACTCCATTTAGTTGAAATATATCCGACTCTAGTACTAACTATAACTTGATGACTCTCTCTCTCTCTCTCTCTCTCTCTCTCTCTCTCTCTCTATCTTTCTGGAATTAAAGTAATTTGGAGATCCCGGGGACGGCATTTTCTGATTTGCCACGCAGTGGGCGAATGGGTAAAATCATGGTACTTTATAAATCGGGGCTATGCACGAGTAAATGTTCCATTTCTCAATATATGTATGTGTGTATACATATTCATATATCATATATCAAGTCTACAGCATGAGTGATAGGAAAATGGTTTGCATTAACACGAAGAGAAGGATATTCAACCCAACCAATATACTCATTTCAGCTTGTATGAAATGAGTATTATAAGAAAAAAGAATTGAATTTTGTTGTTTTTTTTTTTTTTTTTTTTTTTTTTTTTTTTTTTTTTGTGTTTTATATATATATTATTCATCTGATCATAGTTTTGTGAACTTTTTACAATTATTTTAGTTAATAATTAAAAAAAAAGAATTAACCAGTTTACTTAAATGTTAGCACATTTATATATATGTATATATAAATATACATCTATATATATATATACATATATATAAATATGTATATATATTTGCTTCAATATATGTTAAATATAATATAAATCGATGTATATATATATGAATGTGTCTATATATATATATATATATATATATATGTATACTCACAAACACAAACATATACATATACATTTACATATATATGTATGTATAGTTATATATATAATTATATCCACTTAAATATTATCAACTAATTTTTTATGATCTTCGATTTGTTGGTTTTTTTTTTTTTGTTTTTCTTTTCGACTTTGCTTAAAATTTATTTGCAAAAAAAAATTTCCTTATATTTTAATTAGTTTCTAGATGTTTTTTTTTTGTTGTTTCTATTTATAGCGTAATAATGTTTAAGTGTGTGTGTGTGTGTATGCATGTATGTGTCTCTGTGTGTGGCTGTGTGTTTTTCAAACAAAATGTATACGCTTAATTTTACAATTAAATTGAACTTAGAACTAAACAAAAATTTAAGTTAATTTAAAAAAAAAAAAAAATTATATATCATCGTCAAGCACATTGAACTAAATACATGTATATTAGATGTGTGTGAGTGTTTTCATATATATAGTTATATATAAATATATACATATATATATATAAATATGTGTGTGTGTATGTGTTTGAAAATATTATTAATATATGTATTATTTAATAACTTTAGAAACGATATAGATTTTCATTGTTGTTAGCATATTGTATTATGCACATATACACACATACATATGTTTATATATATACATATATATATATTTATTTTAATTATGTTCAAAAGATTTTTGACTTTAAGTTTTATATATTCTTTTCGAATGTATTTGTTTATAGTTTTGTACATTTTTAAAATTATTTTTTTTTATTATTATAAATATGTTTTTTGTTTTTTTTTTTTTCGCTCATTTTGGATTGTGGCCTTTGCTTGTGTTAATTATGTTTTTAAATTGTTATATACATATGCATATATACATACACATATAGACATTATAAAGTCATTGTTATTCCGATTTAGTTGCTTAAGTTCTAATACTTTTTTTGCTTTGCTTTGAAAGTCTGAAATGTGAATTCATTTTGAGGGTGTTTTTTTCGATTTAGGTTCTCGCATTTGTTTTTCTTTTTGTTTATAATAATATTCACTCTATATGTATATATATATTTCTATTTAAATACGTTTTATATAAAGACGACAAAATGATGCTTTGAACTTTTAAACTTGATGTCACAATGAAATGCATTTCAATTTATTTACATATATGTATATATATTAATTTATTTTTTATTTTTGTTAAACTTGTTTTCGTTTTGTTTTTGCGTTAGCTATGAAATGTGACGTTTCTTTATATATATAATTTTATTTTATTTTTATTTTTATTTTGTTAAGAACTGTGTACTATATATACGCTCATTAAAACTTCTATTTATGATATGAGTAGCTGGCCAAGCGGGCACCGGAAAACTCTTCTACTTCACAAACGGAAAGCTAAAGAAAATCGGAAAACTTTTGTACAAATCGAATGGGTCAGGCGAAACTCATGTGGCAAACCTCGGCGCCCCGCTTATAGAGCCAGCAAAATATTTCACACGGATCTCTCGCTCTCTAAATATATTGCATCGTTTCTCTCAATATCGATTGCGATTTCGATATCGATATCGATTTCGATTTATATTTTAATTTTAATTTTTACTCGCTTAAAAATTAACGCGAGTTTCAACAAATGTGTTTTTTTTTTAAGTTTTTCAAATTTTTTGTTGTTTTTTTTTTTTTAGTTTTTCTTTTTGTTCTTAGTTTATCACTCATTTACTTCGTTGATCCTGGCGGCTTAAGCTATTATGTATATGTACACAAATATATATATATATATATATATTTTTTTTTTATATATATTGTTCTATATATATATAGATCATACATATATATGTATTGCGTGCGCTAATTGTAATACACACACAGAGCAATATTTAAATGTATAAAAAAAAAATGTATTAACTAGCAAAAAAAAAAAAAAGAAAAAAAAAATTATTTATATATAAATTTTTGTTAAGTTTTGAACTCTCGTTCTATAAGAGAATGCAGCGCCCGTCGGTGAGTGGGAGTGGGAGTGGGAGAGGGGGAGGAAGAGATATGTATGTGAGGAGTCAACTAGCCATAGCTGGCATGCTCATGTCCCTGCTCCTGTGCCATATCCTGCTGCTGCTGCTCATGTTGCTGCTGCTGCTGCTGCTGCTGTTGCTGGTAGCTCGGCAGCTGCAACTGCAACTGCGACTGCGACTGCGACTGTGGCTGAGGCTGAGGCGAGCGTCCGCTGCTGGCGCTGCTACCGCCGCTGCCGCCAGAGCTGCTGCAGTACTGGAACAGCAGATTCTACACCATGTTCGCATACTTATCCTGCGGCGACATGTAGTCGAGGCTGTTCTGTGAGAAGGCCTGCGCGGAGACGGTGCCGGTGAACGACGGCGACGGCGACAGGCCAAAGTTGGAGGCCGTGTAGCCCGAGTGGCCCATGTTGTAGTTCACCTGGTTCTGGTTGCTGAAGTACTCCATCTGCGAGTAGTAGCTGGGCGCCTGGGCGTAGTTGTTCGGGTACTGCTGGTACTGGTTGTGCCAGAAGTTGTACGAGTCGTGGTTGGACATGTACGCCGAGTGGGCCGAGTGGTGGGCCGACGCGGACTGCGCGGACTGGGCCGCGTGCGCCGCCGCCGCCGCCGACTGTGGCGACATGGGCGTTATGGGCGGAGAGGGTGTGGTGATGCTGCTGCTGCTGTCCATGGGCGTGATGTTGCCGCCCGGCTGCAGCAGCCGCGGATTGCTGGCCGCCGCCGTGCCATAGATGCTATGATGATGATGTGCGCCCGCGCCAATGTCGCCGCCCGCATCCTTCAGCGTGTCGTACGGCGAGCGCAGCGCATCGCCCGACACGCCCACGCCCACACCGACGCCGACGCCAACGCCGCCCACACCGACTCCCGATCCATTGCCGCCCACACCGCCGCTGCCGTAGCCGCCGCCCAGGTGCTCCTTCTTGCACACAATACTCACCGGGCTGACCGACGTGGCCGGCGTGGGCAGCAGCGGCGAGGAGTTCTGATGCGCTGCGGTCACGTTCAGTGCCGCCGCGGCGGCCGCTGCTGAGATGTGCGCGTGCGAGTTGCCAGCGCTGCCGCCGCCACCGCCGCCTCCTCCGCCGCCGCCGCCGCCGCCGTGGCTGCCGCTGCTGCTGCTGGGCGTCGAGCCGCCGCCGTTGTTATTGTTGTTGTTGTTGTTGTTGTTGGCACCGCCGGCGCCCGCATTGAGGAAGGAACTGTGATGTGACTTGATGGACTGCGCCGCCGCAACAGCCGCAGCGCTGACCGCGGCCGCCGCTGAGCTGCTCGCATTGCCGCTGGCGTTGCTCGAGCTGCTCTGGCCGGAGCCGGTCTGCTTCTGGTTCGATTTGTTGGCGCTGTTGTTGCCGCTGTTGTTGTTGTTGCTGCTGTTGGAGCTGTTGTTGTTGCTGCTGCTGTTGTTATTGCTGTTGTTGCGGCCGCCGTTGCCCGAGCTGCTGCAGCTGCCGCTGCCGCTGCCATTCTTGGAGCTGCTCAAACTGTTGGACTGCTGCTGCTGCTGCAGCTGCTGGCGGCACTTGGCCCGTCGGTTCTTGAACCAAACCTAGAACGGGAGAAGCACAAGAGGAGGAATAAGACATTAATAAGTGTTGTATAAACAGAACGCAAGTGCTGGAAAAGGATGAGCTATGCGTGATTCGAGAGAGCTCTCTATGAGTTTCAGAAATGTTTAAACTACGAGAGGGAGGCAGAGCTTAAATATATGTATATATCTTATAAATATTTATATCTTGTATATATCTTACATAAAAAAGTGTTGTATAAACAACTGTGAAGATAGAAACGGTGGGAATTACTGGATTCAAAAGGATTCTCCCTTAGTATGAGAAATGCTTAACGGATGTGTTCAAGGAAAAAAGCTATGATACGTATAGATCTTAAATATATACATTTCATCATATGAAAACTTAAATAGCTATTAAAGCAATGGATCAAAAGTTAGAAGTGATGAGATATGCGAGTTTGAGAAGGCTTTATATGAAGATCAGGCTAATTTTGATCATGATAAGCTTGCCGACCTAACAAGCTATGTATTAGAGGGGGAAATCTATAGGTATGTATTGTATATAGTATGTAGAAAAATAAAATATATAATATATACATATATACAATAAGAGAATCCTTAATGAATGTATATACATATTGATAAGATATATATTTATTGATAAGATAATAATTATTTATACATATTTATTGCTATATGTATATATAGATATATGTATATATTCACATCATTTGGGATTCCCTTATGAATGCATTAACTCTTCTGCTCTAACAAATTCCACCAGATCTTCCATAGTTTCCAACTATTTGCTTATGATTCTCTAATTTATTTGCGATATTCAAGCATTTCAATTTGGAGTTCTATATATGTATATGAATATATATGTATGTATATTTCCCACTAAAGTTTAAGTGTAATGTCATTAGAAATCAATAGCTCAAGTATCAAATTGTCACGTGTTGGATGGTGGCAAGTATTTGCTTAGTCAAGTGCGAGCGTCTGTCTCTGTCTCCCTCCCTCTCACTCTCTCTATCTGTGTGTGTGTTTGCCAGCGGCTGCAATTTTCCCACATCAATTAGTTTGCCGGGCTGACAATGAATAAATTATGTGAGCCGAATGGCAACGGGGCGTGGCAGACGACCCACAACTCAAAACAACAAGTGCAAAAAGTCACGCGCTGCCGCCGGCCCAAAAAAAAAAAAAAAATAAATAAATAAATAGGAAAAAGTTACATCAACAGC